CCACTATATTTTTCTACTTTTTTCTTGATTTTGCATTTTCCTTTTCTTTTTCTTCTTCTTTATCTATTTCTTTTCTTCTTTTTCTTCTTCTTTCTTTTCTTCATCTGGTCTCTCTTCCTTTTCTTTTTATTCTTACGTACTTATTTCTTTTTCTTCTTTCTTTTCTTCTTCTAGTCTTTCTTTTTTTTTCTTTTTTTTTTCTTCTTGTCTGTTCTTTTTTTTTTTTTTTCTTCCTCTTCCTTTTTCATTCTAGTTTTTTCCTTTCCTTTTTTTTTTCTTTTTACGTTCTTTCATTTTTTTTTTTTTCATCTTCTTTCTTTTTTTTCTTCTTCTTCTTTTCTTTATTTTTTTTCTTTTTTTTTTCCTTTTCTTTTTTTTTTTATTTTCCATCCATTTTTCAACGTTTTTTTATTCTTTCTTTGAAATTGTTTTTTTCTTCTTTTTTTCTTTCGTTTTCTTTTTTTTTTTTTTTTCATTTTTTTCTTTTTTCAACTTCAATTCCTTTTTTTCTTTTTTTTCTTTTTTTTTTTTTTTCCTTGTTTATTCTTCTTTTTTTTCTTTTTTTTTTCTTTTTCTTTCTTTTTTCTTTCTTTTATTTTAATTTTTTCTTTGTGGTTCTTTTCTATTTCCTTGTTTTTTCTTCCTTTTTCAGTTTTTTTTTTTTTTTTCTTCATTTTTCTTCTTCTTCTTGTTCTTCTTTTTTTTTTTTTTTTAAAAAATTTCTTTCTTTTCTTTCTTTCTTCTTTTTCCATTTATTTTCTAATTTTTTTTTTTTTTTTTTCTTTTTCTTCTTTTTCATTTTTTTTTTTTTTCACTTTTTTTGATTTTTTTTTTAAAATCATTTTTTTCAAGCAAGCAAGGAAAGAAAGCTAAAAATGCATTCAATTCACTAAAAATTTTCAATTTCTTTTTTTTATTTTTCTTTCCTTTTTTCCACTAGAAAAAAAGAAAAATTGGCATTGCATTTAAATTTTTTGAAGATCAAAAATTGATTAAAAAGATTTAAATATTTAAGAGCATTTTAATTAGTGTAAAGTGAAGAAATTTTGGTTTTTTAAAATTTTTTCATTTAAATTTTTTTTTTTTTGAATTTGTGTCTTCTTTCATCGTCTTCCTTCCTATCTTTTAACAAATCTTTCAATTTTAAATTTTTTTTTTTTTTTTTTTTTCTTTTCATTTGAATTTTAAGCCTTTTTTTTTTTTTTTTTAATCTTAATTTTTTAATTCCAATTTTTTTTTTTTTTTTTTTTTTTTTACCGTCTTTTATTTTTTCGAAAACATTTCAAAAAAAATTTTTTCTTTTCTTCTTCCAATCTTTTCTTCTTTTCTTTTTCTTCTAAATAGTTCTTCTTCTTTTTTTTTTCAATCTGTTTTTTTCTTTTTTTTTTTTTTTATTTTTTTCTATATTATTTTCAATCCTCAATTTCTTTTTTTACCATCCTTTTTTTTTTTCCTTCTTTTTTATTTTATTTAAGAAACATTTCATTTTTTTTCATTAATAAACATATTTCATCTTTTTTCTTCTCATCTATTCTAATACCATCTTTTTTATATTTTTAATTCATTTTTTTTTTTCCTCAGGCATTCCTTCCTTCCTTTCCTTCCTTTTTTTCTTTTTTTTTTTCTTTCCTTCTTTTCTTTCAGGCAATTTTTTAAAATCCTTCCATTCCTTCCTTCCTTTTTTTTCCTTTATTTCCTTCCTTCCTTTCAAAATTTCTTTCTTCCTTCCTTCCTTCCTTCCTTCCTTCCTTTCTTTTACTTCCTTCCAATTTTTCCTTCCTTCCATTAAAAAATTTTTCCTTCCTTTTTTCCATTCCTTCCTTTTTCATCCTTCCTTCCTTCCTTTTCTTTTTGATCTTCCTTTAATTTCCTTCCTTAATTAGTTTTTATTTTTTTTTTACTTTCTTTTTTTTTTTCTAATTTATTCCTTTCAAAATTTTTTTTTTTTGTTTAATTTTTTTTTATCCTTCTTCATTTTTCTTAAATTTTTTTTTTTGCATTTTCTTTCTTTTTTTCTTTCTTTTCTTTTTTTTTTATTTCATTATATTTATTTTATTTATTTCCTTTTTTTTATCTAATTTCTTAAAAACCAATTTCTTCTTCAATTTTCAAAATTTTCTTTCTTTTTTAATTTATCTTTCCAAATATTTTTTCAAAAATTTTCTTTTAATTTTTTTTTTTTTCATTTTTTTCTAAAAAACTCTATTTTTTTTTTTGACAGTTTTTTTTTAATCATTTAATTAATATTATATTTTTTTATATATATATATTCATTTAATATATATATATATATATATATCATATATATTATAAACTATATTATTTTAACCATTTTTTAGAATTTTGTTTGTCGGTTTTCAGTTAAAATTTAATATATTATTGATTTATAACATCCCTTTTCAAAATTCATGTTCAAATATATATTTTTTTGATCCCAAATTTTTTTATTCTTCCTTTTCCGAAAACAAAAAAAAAAAGACAATTTGTAAGATAAATCTTT